TCTGTCTGACCCTCTCTCTCTCTCAAAGATATGTAATATAATGTTCTCAGGTGAGGATTAAAGAAAAAAAACAAAGTTCAATAAAACCAAGAGGTTGTTTTTTAAAAAAGATAAACGAGATTGTTAAACCTTTAACCAGACTCATCACCAGACTTTTTTTCTTGATGACCCAAATAAGTAGAAACAAACAAACAAAAAAGAAACAATCAACACCACAGAAATAAAAAAGATTATAAGAAAATATTGTGAACAACTTATATGCCAACAAATGGACCATCTGGAAAAAATGGATAATTTTTTAAAACATACAATCTTCTAAGAATGAGTCAAGAAGAAAGACAAACTCTAGATAGACCAAATACTATCAATACAATTCAATCGGTAATCAAAAAACTTATATTAAAGACTTCTGGCGAAGATGGAGGTGTAGGTGAAAACACTGTATCTCCTCACACAACCAAACTTAAGAACAATAAAGATTTAGGAAAAAAACACAACCAGAACAAACAGAAAATTTAACTGTACTGAAGTCCGACAACAACAAACCATTCATCCATAACGGTAAGAGGGGCAGAATGAGTGGCTGGCAGAGGGGGGTCCCGACAGGAAGTGACAGTGGTTAGCAGAACTGGATGCAGGGAGGAAATGAGCAAATCCATTGAGGTGTGCAAGGCGGTTGGCTGACCACAGACATACATTCGTGTATGGACAAACCAGGCAAAAAAAAAAGGCAGTAAGACAGACCACGCAACCCAGGGCCACAGCACAGGGAAATAAAGCCTGAAGGCACCGACTGAAACAACTTTTGGGGGTTGAGATGCTGGAAGAGGCTCCCAGTCTCACAGGAAAGTTCGATGGAGAGACCCACAGGGTCATAGAACATACACAAGCCCACCCACCCGAGAACCAGCACCAGAAAGGCCCAATTTGCTTGGGGGAAGCAGCAGAGGGGACCAAAATCCAAGACAGAGCAGAACAAGCACCACTGCTCCCTCTCGGATCCCACCCCCACATACAACATTACAACCCAGCAATGTGGGTTGCCCCACCCTGGTGAACACCTAGGCTCTGCCCCTCATACCCAATAGGCATGACCTGACCAAAACATTATGGCTCAAACAGAAGAACAAATCAAAGCCACAGAGCCAATATTTCTAAGCAACCAAGAGATAGCCAACCTATCAGATGCATAGTTCAAAACACTGGTGATCAGGATGCTCACAGAACTGGTTGGTCACAAATTAGATGAACAAATGAAGGCTACACTAAGTGAAATGAAGCAAAACACACAGGGAACCAATAGTGAAAGAAAGGAAACTGGGACTCAAATCAATGAAGTGGACCAGAAGGAAGAAAGAAACATCCAACCAGAAAATAATGAAGAAACAAGAATTCAAAAAATGAGGAGAGGCTTAGGAACATCTAGGACATCTTTAAATGTTCCAACATCTTAATTATAGGGGTACCAGAAGGGGAAGAGGAACAGCAACAAGTGAAAAAGTTCTTTGAACAAATAATAAAGAACTTCCCCTATCTGGCAAAGGAAATAGACTTCCAGGAAATCCAGGAAGCTCAGAGTCCCAAAGAAGGTGGACCCAAGGAGGAACACACCAAGACACATCATAATTATATTAGCCAAGATTAAAATGAAGGACAAAATCCTAGAAGCAGCAAGAGATGAGGGGACAGTCACCTACAAAGGAGTTCCCATCAGACTGTCAGTGGATTTCTCAAAGACCTTACAGGCAAGAAGGGGCTGGAAAGAAGTATTCCAAGTCATGAAAGGCAACGACCTACATCCAACATTGCTCTATCCAGCAAAGCTTTCATTTAGAATGGAAGGGCACATAAAGTGCTTCTCAGATAAGGTCAAATTCGAGGAGTTCATCATCACCAAGTCCTTATTATATGAAATGTTAAAGGGACTCATCTAAGGAAAAGAAGATAAAAATATGAACAGTAAAAGAACAGCAAACTCACAGTTATTAAGAACCACACCTAAAACAAAAGCAAACTAAGAGGACAGCTAGAGAGCCATAGAAATGGAGATCACATGGAGGGTAACAAAAGGGGAGTGGGAGGAGAAGAAGAGGGGAGAAGGTATGGAGAATAAGTAGCATAGATGGTAGGTAGAAAATAGCGGGGAGGGCAAGAATAGTATGGAAAATGTAGAAGCTAAAGAACTTGTGACACATGGACATTAACTAAAGGGGAAGAATGCGGGGGGGTGCAGGGTGGAGGGGAATGAAGGGGGGAAATGGGACAACTGTAATGGCATAATCAATAAAATATATTTTTTAAAAAAGAAATTCTGACACATGCAACAACTGAATGGACCTTGAAATCATCATATTAAGTGACATAAACCATAAACATTAGGCCAAATATTATATTATTCCAATTATATAAGGAACCTAGAATAGGCAATTTTTTTATATACAGAAAACAGAATAAAGGTTATCAGAGGGTGGGGGAGAAAGGAGAGAAGTGCAGTTATTTTTTAATGCGTAAAGTTTATGTTGGGAATCCTGAAAAAAATTTCAGAACAGACTATAGTGATGGATACACAGCTTTGTAAATGTATTTGATGCCATTGAATTGTACATTTACAAACAGAAGAATAAATGTTATGCTACATATATTTTACTAAAATTTAAAAAGTGGAGCCAATACTATACATAATGAAAAGATAGGAATGAAATAAACCAAAATGTCAGCAGCGACTATTTTGAGAAAAATCTTTGGGTGGTCTCCTCTTTCTTTCAGTCACGTTCTCTATTTTCCAAATTTTCTTTCAGTTACTCTTTGGATAGGAAAATAAACCTGTTATGTCTTAACACTTTTTTAGGTTTTAATATATACATTGTTCACCAGCCCAAATTTTTCTCTTCCAGAAAGTTTCTTCACATTAGAACCAGAATTTACAAAGAATTTACTTAACAATGGACCATAAGAAAAGGAAATAGTCACTTAAAATGATTTAAAGAAGTTCATTGCTGCAGAGAGGTAAGAATTAATGTTTTCTTATGAGGGGGTCCACCTTACCCTGGCCACAGGCCCAGTGGGCCCACTAACTATAACCATCAAGGGCAGCAATTCCCTCCTTTATCTGAGTTTCTCTCCAGTCCTCTAGGCACTGATTAAGGAGAGAGGTTTCAAGTCTCCTCGGACAACTTGACATTCAACCAATAAATTAAAATACAATGGTAATTTAAACATGCAAGTGAGGATTTTCCTTAAATTTAACTAATTGAAATAATTAATATTGATTCACCCTTAAAAGTACCCTAAGCCCTTCCCAGAAGGTCCTGTTTATATGGCCAAAGATACTGACATTGTGCTGGGTTTTTATGCAAGAATCCAAAGGACCTTTCTCCCTTTATGACAAATAAATAAAACAGTGGGGAATCAAATAACTCACTAAAAAAAAGACGTAATTTTTACCTTCCTTTTTACAGTCTCATATCCACTTCCACTGGGAATAACAAACTCTGAATTCTTATGCAACACTTATCTAAATGTGTCGATTTTATCAGATTGATGAATTTCACTAACAAAAGGCAGCGCTAGAAAATCTCTTTTATGACATATTTGGCTCATTCATAGGAATGGAGCTTTAATTTAATCAACTTGAGACTTCTGAGGGAGAACTGCAGGTGTTGGATCTAAAAAATAAGTCATAAATGGGAAGGAATATTAATCTTTATGATGGGGAAACAAAAACACTCCCTACTTGCTTGCCCTCCACAGGCAGGAGAAGGAGAGGTGGAGTAGCAGGATATTGTTTCAGGCTGCATAGCCCAGTGGAAGCATTGCTGTCTCCTGGTGACCACTACTTAATATTGATCAAAAAGCACTGGCCCAGAATGGAAGACAGGAACTGGTAAAACAATGAGATCTGTCAACACTGTGTACTTAACAAGGACATTTTCTCATTTTCTCAACCACATCAGTATTAGTCATTCCCTTGGCCACCTAAGCAACCAGGTGCCTTCTGTCCCTTAGTCCCCACATCTCTCTCATCCCCACCCTACCTAGTAGCACTGTCACCTTCCTGCTCCCAAGGACTTCTCCTATCAGAATGTAATAATTGTGGGCAAAGCCAATAGCCTGACAAGGCCTTCTGAATCTCCCTAGATCACCCTTCTCTCCTTCTACTACCTGAACTCTGAGCCAAACTTCTCTTCCTGGAAAAACCACCATAACCTCTTCCTATCTGTCTCCCTACTGCCTCCATATCCTCCTTGCCATGCCATCCTCCCACCTGCAGCCAGTCATCTCTAGATGGGAAGGAAACCTCTTTCAGTCAGTCACATGAACAAAATTCTTTAACTCAATTTCTACAAGATGAAAGTGTAAATTCCTTAGCATGGAATACTACAAAGGTCCTTTTGTAATCTGACCTCTCATAGTCTCTCCTCAGTAGTAATGTCCATCGGTCCATTCATCTGTCTATCCATCCAACTTTATAAGTCTCTATAACAGAAACATCCAGCTACCCACCAGAACTCATATCTCCTTTTGATGACCCAACTGTAGAAAAACAGTGAAGGGACACATTCCCTAGCTTAATTAAGCAGGTAAAACACAGCCCTCACCAACAGAATCTCAGGGGTAGGGTATACCCCTTCCAGGACCAGGCCCTACACACTGGACCTTCCTGTAAACATGAAGACAGCAGTGCCTGTGCCTGTGCCCACTTTGCACAAACAAGGATGCACCCCACAGTGGAGGGCCAGCAAGATGGAGATAACCTGGGTTTCTGAACACTGTGCAGAGCAGAACCACCCACTGCTCTCATTAGGAAATTACCTATAAAATCAGCTTCTTGCTTCTTTATGCCTCTAGACTGTTTGGTCTCTTCCAACAACACCTTAACCTTTACCCTTCATGCAAGCAAGGGCCAGGTATGATCCTACGTACTAGGGCAACTGCCTGCCCAACTGTGTACTCTGAAGCCTGCTTGTGTATGTAAACCTTCCACTCATTGGCAAACCTACTTGGTGTTCTCTAGGGTCTTCTGCATTTTCTTGGTCATTTTATCTATTGCTGCCTGTCTCTTCCCTTCAGCCAAGAGGTCCACCTTGTTCAGCACCACGATCAGCTTCTGGCAGGTGATCTGCCCAATCACAAGGCATTCTGCTGACTGGGTCTGCATCCCCTTGGTCACATCAATGACCAGCATCATTAGATCAATGATTTGGGCCCCTGGAAGAAGAGAAAACAAGGTTAAAAATGGAAAAGGGAGAGGTTAGCTCAAAAAGCTGCCTGATGCCCTGGGTCAGGCAAAATCAGCCCAATGAAAGTATTAAAAGGGGTCAGAGTGGGAAATGAGCAATTACCTTCTAGCACCAGGCCACAGGTGACATGCTTTGACCTACATGATTTGACTGAATCCTCATAACCACCATAGAAGGCAGGCATATTATACCATTTAGAGATGAGAAAACTGAGGCCTACAAAAGAGAACTTGCCCAGGCCACACAGCCAGCCTGCAGCAGGGCTGGGTGACTCCAAAATCTATGCCTTTCTATTGCACAATCTTACCATTTTATTCCATCCTACACAGGCAAAAACCAGCAAAAAAAAAAATCTCAGTGTTAGAAGACAAATGCTTATGGACTTGCCCTTGCCAAGACAGAGAAAAGAAGGACTAAAAAAGTGAAGGAGGAGTTGGAGCAGCAGGGGATATATTCTCAATGGCTCCTGCATCTTTTCCTCACAGTGCTTGGGGTTTCATTGTGATCATCTCATGCTTGGCTAGACTATATCTGCTCACTTCTTCATTTTTCTGTCCTTTCTGTTCTAGCTGGGGTGGGGAGGTTTCTGTTCTTCCTAGGGAGAGCAGAGTAGGAGCACACAAAGTTCAGCTATATTAACAGAGCATCCTACATGTATGTGCATGTATGTGTGTGCATGCATGTGTGTGTGCACATGCATGCCAGACTGTAAACATGGCCTGAATACACAACCACACCTGAGCTGAACAGCAGTGGATGGACAAATTACAGAGAAGTCAATGAAGGGAAACTGCCGTTAAGTTCTACGTAAGGAAAACTAACATTAGCCAGTGAAGTAACTGTGTTCTTTTAAATGGGACTAGGAATAGCTTCAATAAAAAAGGTATTATTTTGTGGATGCAAGAATATGCAAACATTTTCTCTTTGCCCCATTAGGGGTTTTCAGGACCAAATTACTGTCATGGTGAGGCAAAGGAAGATTCTTCTGTGGGTGGCTTTATGATAGAACCCTACTGCTGGGAAAGGGAAGGCAAAGAGGAAGGGCAGTGTTTTTTGTTGGCACACTTACTGGCACACTAGTCAGCCACACAGTTTTTTCTAAAGCCTAGTATTTGAGTTGAAAGTGAGACTCAGAGTCATGGTGTCATTTGCTCTAGATTACTCAGCCAACTGAAACCAAAGGCCACCAGAAACCAAAGTGCCTGACTCCACTGAGGATGTATTCTTTCCTGGCCACCACTGGCCTGCACAACTCCTCTGGTTGCCCCCAGGAAAAACAATGTGTCTCTGACTCTAAGTATCCCAACACTTCTCCCTCCCCTAAACTCCGTCCTCCACAGCTCCCTTTCCTACCTTACCATATCAGCTGGGAACACAAGTAGAAGTGTAATACAAAGGGACCTGGAGGGACAGGCCAGGTGCTCAGAGCAGCCTGCCTTGGCATCTCCCTTGTCAAGTCACCAGGTAGTAGGGCCCAGGTCTCTACTACAGCCAAACAGAGGAGGACATTGGTTCTATTATCTACCATGAATGGACAAACTGTGTACAACAGACTCACCTTTTTAAACAATTTAGGCCTATAAAACCTCATCTGAAAGATTCTCTCATATTTCTACTGAATCACCAACTCAGCCCTGGAAACCATTTCTGTTCCAGCTCTAGTCCCCATGGCCCATGTCAGACCCAGGTCAGCTGACATGGGTCCCAAATGGGTCCCTTTGCCTCAACTTGTCCCTCTGAAACCCATTCTCCAAACAACCTCCCAAAAGGAACTTTCCAAATATGCATAATTAATTTGTATACTATTGGAAGGGTAGGGAAGGGTTAAGTTAGAACAACCTCTGTTTAAGGAAGGTCAATTTGGAAACAACTATCAAAGGTATGTAATCTTTGACACAATCAAGCCTGCATACATGTGAAATGTCCCTGTAGCATGCTTGTTGTAGCTAAAGTTGAAAACCATGGAATGTCCATCAGCAGAGGACAGGATTAAAATAATGCTACACCCATGAGACTGAATACTATACATCCATTAATAACGATGAAGAATCACTTTGTATAGTACTCTGGGATGATATCCAGAGTGAAGAAAAGGAGCAGAACAATGTTATATTAAAAGGAGGAAAAGGGTGTGTGTGTGTTATTTGCTTCTATATGCATAAAATATCTCTGAAGGAATGCAAATGAAACAATTAACTTTTGGTTGTCTACTGGGGAGAAAGTTAGGTGACAGACAGTGGATGGGGCAGAAAGAAAATCCTGACTGTAGATACTTATGTATCTTTTCATTTAAAACAGGAGTGTATACTATCCATTCAGAAATCTACAAAATTATGTTAAGTATATAAGTAAATAGTCAAATAAAACATTGATCTGTGTTATTCTGTGGCTAAGAGCTCCCACTGTCCTATGATTAAAAACAATCTCTGTGGTGTGGCTTTGGGAGTCCCCTTTTACTTCACAGTCCTGGAATGCTCCCCTGTGTTGAGCATAACAATGTACCTCAGAGAGCCCTTCTCTGTGCTCCTTGCTCTGCCCTGGAGTGTTTCCACACATAGACACACACACTGGCCCGAACCCCTCCCACCACAAGCCTCTCCACAGGTTTGCCAGCCACAAGCAAACCTGTCACCACCAGTCACAGGGCTATGTGGCCAGGTTTTGAGGCGGTAAGAGGTTTTAAGACAGCAGACTTTGAATCAGCAGGTTTTGGTGAATAGTGAGAAGGAGCTCCCTGGATTCTCAGCCTGTGTGCCATTGGCAGCAAAGATTTCACAGAAGAATGGCCCCAAAGCCTGGCCCAGTGGCCCCCAACTCTGATGGGCAAAGCTGCACTCCCAGAGCCAAGACTACCTATTCTATCCCATGTGTGACTTAAGAACATTGTTTCAAGAGTAATTCCAACTACTGGGCTTCCTCAGAAACCTAAATGCTATCCCTTACCTCACTCAAATTATTACTGACCCACTTTACAGGTGAGAAATTTGGGCTTAGAGAAGTTAGGTGACTGCCCTAGGTTCTTCAGCAAATAGCGGGGAGAGAAAAGATCTGAACTCTTGTTCATCCTCTTACTCACATGCCATATACTACTTATCCTTGCTAATGGGGACCAGCCCCTTTCCAGCCTCCATGTTATACTGAGAATCAAGACACAACCCATGCTAATTTACACCTCTTCCCTGCCTTGCTTTTTGCTCCTGCTCGTTTCTGCCCATACCTCACTTGCCCTGATCCTTCCTCTCCTCCCCTCTCCATCCCGACCCCACCCACTCCATACCAAGAACTCACAGACCAAAGCCCAGGGTTTCAATCTGTATTTCCAGCAACGAGTATAAGACATGGCTTGGGTACAGCTTAATCAATCTTTGTTGGACTAATTCAGCAAACGACAGTTCCCCCTTATGTCTTCCACTTTCTTTACAGAAAATCTGCTCCTTCTCTCTGAGATTCAATTTCTTATTGGTGTGTAAAACTATCAAGGAGTGCCCTGTCTTGGCCCAGTGGCTAGAAGGGAAGGATAATATATTCCAAGTATTTAGTCCATCTCCCATCTGATGCCTGCTGGGATCCTGAGGATGGGAAATGAACGTGAACTGACAAACCCAGAAAGATAAGTACATACAAGACCCAAACCCTCCAAAGTCCATGGGGATATCCTCTTCGGCCTCATTCTAACATCTACAAGCCGCCTTTGTTGCAGGGAGAACACAGCTGTGATCCAAAAGGCCAGCCTCTGGAGTAGACTTTAGCAGTGCAGCCAATATCAGAGATTTCCAAGGAGATCAGAGGTCATAGTGAGTTGACTGACCTTTCTGAGAACCAGGGTACCACTGGAAACTGAGGTCAGCATCAGGCAACTGCCTACTGCCTAGAAGTAACTCTCAGTTACTCCATTTCTTCATCAAACTTTTGATCAGATGACAGGGAGTAACATAACTGTCCCACCTTGTCTTTTTCAAAATCCCTAGTATTAAATGTAGGTAGCATGGCCGAGAGGTCAAAATCCCTAGTATTGCTGCAATGAATCAGTGTTCTTCCCAATTCCCATGAACCAGGAGTAAGAAATGGTTCTGAGACCAGAGAGACAGAGTTAGAGAGTAGATGGGAAACACTAGTCAAAAACTTACAGACTGCTTAGAGAGGCTTTCAAGATGGCGATGGACTAGGACGCAGTGGATACCAGTTCCTAGTACAAAAGGGAGAGAAACCTGTCTGATCGGAGAAGGTGAAACCAGCAAGCCAGCAGTTGCCAAGCATATATGAAAATAAGAGACCAGAAACCTCATCGATCACGGAGGAACAAGACGGTAGGGAGACAGCAGCAGTACAGTAGTCTCTGGGACGGAGCAAAGAGAAACAGCCAGTGCAAGGTAGGGGAACCAGCGCCCAGTGGCGAGAGCCCAACGGCGCATGGGACAGCCTTCAGCACCCAGACGGCTCCCTCCCTAGGATTTCTGGGCCAGGGACCTGCCAAGTGGCCCAACCAGAGGGGAGCAGAGGTGATTTCAGCCTGTGCATAGTTCGGAGGTCCTGTACCTGGTGGGAACTGTGTCTGGGAGAGTGCCTAACAGTGCCTGGGACAGCTTTCAGCGCCCAGACGGCTCCCTCCCTGGGATTTTTCCGCCAGGCAGGCCAAGTGGCCCAGGCAAAGAGGTGTGGAAGAAATTTCAGCCTGCGTACAATTTGGGGACTGACACGCAGTGTATCTGGGCAAGTGCCTGAGGGTGCCTAGGCCAACATTCAGCACCCGGAAAGTTCCCTCCCTAGGATTTTTGGGCCTGGACCTCCCAAGAGACCCAAACAGAGGGGAGCAGAGGAGATTTCAGCCTGCACACAGTTCTGGGTACAGCGCCCTGCGTGGTGCTGCTCCATCACTAGGTTTTTTTGGCAGAGGTTGGCCAGGGGACCCAGACAAACACAGGAGCAGAAGGGATACACACCACGCAGCGTGCTATGACATGCACACAG